CTTAAGCCCCTAAATCCTAAATCTCTAGAGAGCCCCAAACCCAAAACCCAAAACCCTAAACCCTAAGCCCAAAACCCTAAACCCTAAGCCCTAAACCCTGAACCCAGAACCCTAAACCCTAAACCCCTGAAGAAAGCTCAGATGCTGGAGCCGTTGGTTGGCGAGCGTGGGGCCAATGTGCCTGGCAGCGTGCTGGCTGCGGCAGTAGAGGCGCGCAAAGGTAATCTAGGGCAACGCCTATCCTTATAGAAGGCAAACGCACCTTCATACTGTTGTGAAGAAGACCGCTAAGCCCTGACCCCTTTGTTCTAAGGGGGGCTTTGAGTTTGAGAGTCCTGGTTCAGGGTTTATTCCGTTGCACGTCATCCATAGTGGCTGCCCAAGCCCTAGTAATTCGTAGCGGGTTGAGAGTTTAGAGTTATAGTCTTCTTTCTAGGGACCAGGATCTTTGGCCTGACCCCAAAAGAGTAGGCACTTGTAGGGGGTGCGAGGGGAGCTCATTATATCCCGTGTTGTAGGGTTTTGGGTTCAGGGTGTTGTCTGAAACTCGCGAAGTCTCTATAAACCATGAACCTCATGCGCTAAACCCACAGCCCCAGGGCCCCCAATCCCTAGCTATTCTTGTTCCTGATCCACCGAACTCCAAACCCAACCCCCCAATCCCAGAGGTTCCACATGCAATGCTATTCTCAGCTATGCCAAGAGCATACTTATAATTCCTGAACTCAAAACCCTGAACCCTGAACCCTACACCCTAACCCTGAACCCTAAACCCTAAACTAGACTCTAAACCCCTAAACCCTGCAGCGTCGTGCTGCTGAACCTCTTGGGTGCCCCGTAGCAAAAGCAACGTCGAGCTCCTGCTTCCGGATCCCCCAACTCGCCCTGACAAACCCTGTCAAGCCTCAAACCCTAACCCTTTGCAGTCAGGTAAGCCCTAAACCCTAAGCCTTACACCCTAAAAGCCCTAGAAGCCCATAAAGCCCCAGAAGCCCTAAGCCCTATATGAGCCGCATATAAGCCCTAACAAGCCCTGCAAGCCCTAAGCCCCGCAAGCACCAGAAGCCCTATAAGCCCACAAGCCCTAAGCCCTATATCAGCCCTATATAAGCCCTAAGAGTCGCCCCAGAAGCCCTCAGCACTAAAGCCCAAACTGCAGGAGGCTGCAGGCGTCGGACTCTCCATGGAGTCAGAGCTAACGACGCGCCTCGAGTCTTTGTGCCAGGACGGGGTGGACCTCCAAGATACCCATCATGTCCTAAAGCCGAAACCCCTCAACCCTAAGCCCTTGTAAAACCCTAAGCCCTATAATCCCCAAACCCCAAACCCCAAACCCTAAAACCTAAACCCTGAACCCTAAACCCCAAACCCTGAACCCTGAACCCTAAACCCTGAGCCCTGCACCCTAAACCATAAACCCTGAGCCCTGAACCCTAAACCCTGAACCCTGAATCCTAAACCCTAAACCCTAAACCCGAAATCCTAAACCCTAAGCTGAACCCTGTGGCTTTTCCAGGGTGTTGGTTTGAGGAGCTACTTGGGGCTGTGGAGGTTCTGTGGAGGTTCAGGGTGTAGGGTTTAGGTTTAGGTTTTAGGGTTTAGGGTTTAGGGTTTAGGGTACCTTGCGATCGAGGAAGGGCTGAGCCCCAAAGAAGCCACTCCATTCGCTTCCCCCGCCACAGCATGAGATCTGTTATGCACCCAAACCCTTTCTTTTATAGGGAAAGTTTAACCTGAATATGGAGGCCAAAATCGGAGCCGAAACCTGGCCCCACACCCCCGCCCTCCCCTCTCGAGCCAAACCCGGGCTGCCGCCTCCCAAAGCCTCTTAGGGTTTGGGGTTTAGCCCCTCAAGGTTTGAGAAATAGGGTTTAGGCCCAGATTATGGAGCCTAGGGTTTATGGATTGAGTGAACTTTATGTTCTTAATGTTTCGGGGATTCTTTGGGCGGGTGGGTATTCTTCCAACGCTCGAGTGAATGCTTGCACTTGGGATGCTGAACCCTAAACCCTAAGCCCCAAAACCTAAACCCCAAGCCCTAAACCCTAAACCCTCAACCCTCCACCCTCAACCCTCAACCCTCAACCCTCAACCCTCAACCTTCAACCCCAACCCCCCCCCCCCCCGGCCCATCAGGAGGAGGACCGGGAGGCCGCAGATGCTCAGGGGTCCGGGTTTTTGCAGGGCTGGAGCTCTGGGATGTTTGAGGGCTTAGGGTCAAGGATGCAAGTCAAGTTTAGGGTTTGGGGTTGAGGGTTTAGGGTTTAGGGTTTTAGCCTTAAGGATTCATCCTCGTGATTGGGGTTTTTGCTTTAAAGGGTTAAGGCGGGATTACTACTATTTGCTTAAGAACCCCCAAAAGAATATACTAATCCATATCTTGCCATCAGGGAGATGCTTTGCTGTATTCTATATATACATATGTATATATACATATATATATCATATATATATATACATATATACACATATATATATATATATATATATATATATATACATTTTGTTTTTTTTGTGGGGGGGCGTGGGGGGGGGGGGGGGGGGGTGGGCGGTGGGCGGGTGGGGCTCTTCAGCACATCGTAGTGTGCGGTGCATGGGGTCTGAGTCTAGCTTTGTAGGGTTTAGGGTTTGGGTGAGGGATGTACCCCAGACCCTAAACCCGAAACCCTAAACCCTGAACCCCCAAACCCTGAACCCGAACCCCAAACCCTACACCTGAATTGAAAACCCCCAAACCCTCAAGCCCAAACCCTAAACCCAAAAACTCAAAACCCCAAACCCCAGACAAACCCCAAACCCCAAACCCTAAACTCCGAACCTTCAACCCTAAACCCCAAACCCTAAACCCTGCACTCTAATCCCCAAGCCCTCAAGCCCAAACCTAAATCCCAAAACCCTAGACGCCAAAGCCCAAACCCTAAACCATGGAACCCGAAGCAGCAAGTCCAGTTTAGGTTCTAACTCATGCTCACAGCCCTAAACGCCCAAACCCCAAAAGCAAAATCTTAAACCCTAATCCCTCAACCCTAAACCCTACACCCTAAACCCCAAACCACATCCCAATCTCACGAGCCGTCAGGGTGTTTGGCGCTGTCTCTGCACAGCTCTCAGTGATGCCGATCGGCTAAGCGTTGCATTCTGGCCCGGGTCTCAGGTCAGGGTTGAGGGTTGAGGGTTGAGGGTTGAGGGTTCAGGGTTCAGGGTTCAGGGTTCAGGGTTCAGGGTTCAGGGTTGAGGGTTGAGGGTTGAGGGTTGAGAGTTTATGGTTCAGGATTTAGGGTTTAGAGTTCAGGGTTTAGGGTTAGGTTAGGGTTGAGGGTTGCAGGCTTTGCTTGGCTGCGGGTGTTGGGGTTCGATCACCTCTTCAACCCCCCGCCGCAATACCCAAACCCTGCAAGACCTGAAAGGGCCCCCCCCTAAGCTTCGTTAGGGTTTAGGGTTTAGGGTTTAGGGTTTAGGGTTTAGGGTTTAGGGTTTAGGGTTCAGGGTTTAGGGTTTAGGTTTAGGGTTTAGGGTTTAGGGTTTAGGGTTTAGGGTTTAGGGTTTAGGGTTTAGGGTTTAGGGTTTAGGGTTTAGGGTTTAGGGTTTAGGGGTTACGGCTACGGTCTAGTTCAGGATTTGGTTGTTGTAGGGCCGAAACCCTGAACCCTACACCCTAAACCAAAAATTGATGGTTCCGACCAGGCTGCAGCTCAGTTTAGGGTTTTGGGCTTAGGGTTTGAAATCGTCACGATCGTCATCATGTCCAGATGGTACTCGTTTGCCCTTTTTGTGGTTCAAGGTTCCCTTATGAAGTAACCAACCCCCAAAAGGGTGCCCTTATTGCTAGAATATGGTTTTAAAGGTTAAGGGCTTAGGATTGGGGCTTTAGGGGAGTTTCGGGTTTAGTCCTTCCTGCCTTAGGCGGAAGTTTTGGGTGTTGGGGATCGGGTTGGGGGCGCTGTGGAGCGGAGTCTGGGTAGTTTCTGGTTACCGCTCGGGCAGAGCCTTCCCTTCAATTCAAATGGAGAGTGGGCCTTTGAATACTTTCGAGATGTTGATCTTCGTAAGGGGAATCCCTAAACCCAAAACCCAAAATCCTCTCATCCCGAGTTGTGGCTTCATTTAGTCCTACAAACCTTTCAAACCCTGAGGCCCCACTTGAAGGTTCATGCGTAGTCTTTAAAGTTGGGTTATATAACCCCCCGCCTCCGCCCAACAAGGCGTGATAGCGATAGCTGTACCTTTTTCACCGGTTATGTAGATGTTGAAGAGCGTCACCCTAAACCCTAAACCCTAAACCCATGAGCCCACAAGTAATTCTAAATTCGCCCTGATGTTTTTGCCATGCTCGCTCGCGAAGCCACCACATCCGTCCAATGTTGCTGCTGGTCTCCACCGGCGCGGTCAATCAAGCGGCGCAGTGGCAAACCCTAAGCCCTTGAAAGCTTATAAACCCTAAACTTATCGAGCCTTGGTGTTTAGGGTGCCGGCATTTTCTGTACACGAGGTCAAACCCTAAACCCTAAGCCCTAAACCCTAACCTTAAACTCTAAACCCTAAACCCTAAACCCGCTAAGCCATTGCCTCAGCCTGGTCGCTGACTGTATCTTCAGGTTCCCTTCCGTCGGAAAGGGCTCCGGGGCACTTCGGTCCGAACTTGATTGGCTGCAGTGGCCTATTTCTGCTGGCTCCCTGATACGAACGGCTCTACATTTTTGTTGGTTTAGGGTTTAGGGTTTAGGGTTTAGGGTTTAGGGTTTAGGGTTTAGGGTTTAGGGTTTAGGGTTTATGGGGTTTAGGGTTTAGGGTTTAGGGTTTAGGGTTTAGGGCAAAGCTTCAGGAGTGTACACGTAAAGCATTCCTGTGACGTTGTGGGCTTCAGGGGGTTTTGGGGGCTCCAGAGTCTTTGCGAGGCAGGCGAGAAGAGGCGCCCACCATCTTCGACGCTGCGTGCGCAGCGTCGCGCCGAGCTGCTGGTGGATGCAGACAGCCAAAGTGTGGAGCTGGTTCGGGCGGCGATGGAGAGACTGCAGGAAGAAGGCCTAGCTGTGAGAACTTCCATTTTTGCAGCACCTGACCTCAGCAAGAACAAGAAGTGGAATGCGCTTTTCTCAGAGCCGGGCGTCGACTTTCATGGCGTGGCGCGCAATGCCAGTGCCATCGGGGAGGCCAACGACATTGCCATCAGGTCCAAATGCAAGGAGTTGATGAGATCGAAGCACTCCGAACGTCTTGCACTTCTGGCTGCAGATTTGGATTTCTTAGGTACCTTGCAGCGCTTGGCAAGATGCGGTATTCAAGTCATGCTTTTCGTGCTTTCGAACAACTATGCACTGATTCATAAATACCGGGCTGCTGGCATTCCTGTCGTCGAGCTGGCTTCGCCGAATGAGCGCGTTTCAAGAGTGAGAGCGACCGTCCATCCGAACGGAAGTGGTCAGGTGGCTCTGGCTGATCCGTATTACCTGCAGGACTGTCTGGAAGAAGTCGAGCTGTGTCATGCGTTCTTGCAGGACTTGGGCTACGTTCAGGCAGGTTCACACGAGTATCTAATCCACGCAGCGTGCAAATTTTGGCGAAGAAACCGTTTGGGCCAACTCACGGTATTTCCTCAGCAATGCGCCATCAAAGAAGTTTGCCGAGTGGCATCTGAGCATGGCTACAGAAAGTGGTTGAAGTTTGCAGAAGATTCTGCCTTGCTGATCCCCATATATTCCAGAAGCCGCCTTACAAAAAAGCAGCTGAGCACGTACGGAAGCGGCCTTGCCAGACAAGTGTTCCGTGGAGGGGGTCCGTTCATGCTCAAGGACTCAAAGGGCATAGTCCACGTGGCCCTTCGAAAGTTGGGATACTTGGACGATGAACTGAGCGCAGATTTGGCCGAAGCCATGTTGGCGTTTGTGAATGCTCCTGAAAACCACTATGCTTTGCGAAAGAAGCTAGATCTGCTGCCCGTCATCGACGACACGGCCATGGATACTGAAGAGAAGTTGCGACAGGCTTTCATGTCCCATCTCTCAGCGGGCCGTTGGAGAATCTTGCTAGCCCAGTGGTGCCTTTTTGCCCCTTTTTTTTGGATTCAAAGTCCCCTTGTAAAGTAGCCAAGCCTAAACCCTAAACCTAAACACTGAGTATGGTTGCTGAGCTACCAAGGAATAGCCCCCAGAGACACCGAAGTGCGACATCGTTTACGCAGCCAAGGCTTCCTTGCAAGCGAGAAGGCCGAAGCAAGGGACGTCTTTGAGGCCATGGCCAAGTATGCCCGGCTGCATGGTCTGCCCCGCATGAACTCTTACGTTGGATACGTTTTCCGAATCTTGCGAGCTGCAGGTTCGCATCAGCCTGCGTCGACAGGTACCGTGGAGTTCGACCTCTCAGGACAAGTTGGCCAGACCACCCACTGAGGGTTGTGGCCCTTGCGTGTTGTCGCTGAACTCAAAGTTCGTCCAAAGAAATCCTGTTTCAAGGTCCATGGTCAGTCATAAAGTGGCTAAAAGTTAGATGAAGCGCGAAGAAAGCTTTAAATTTTTGGCGGGTTGCAAGTGTCGCTGCTCTGCTTGAGTTCCCCGTCAAATCGACCCGTGAACCTCCAAGCTCACAACTGAAGATCGTGTCAGAGAACTCTTCAGGGCTTAAGGTTTAGGGTTTAGGGTTGTGGGCTGAAGATCGTGTTCTATGAAAGGCCCAGGCTTACCCCAACACCGTGAATGCAACGACCAGGAATCTCCAGAGGTAACCCTAAACTCTGAACCTTAAACCCAAAACCCTGCACCTTGTGCCCATCATGCAAGGCGTGTATAAAAACCTCAAACTGTTGACACCTTTCCCTTTTTGGATTATATTCCTTCCTAGACAGAACCATGAAGGGTCATGAAGGGTATAGGGTTTAGGATTCAGGGTTTAGGGTTCTCCTTGTTTCTTTCCAGGATTGTTAGGGTTCAGCGTCCGTTTTTCAGCTCATGGTGACCTCTGGATAGTGGTCAGGCAGTGTAGCTATGATTCCCGGAGCCCAAGACCCGAAGTCGTGTACCATGTACCCCTAAACCCGAAGAGCCAGGGAGCCCGATGATGGGTCCAGTGTCCATATGGACCCTCTAAAGGTTTTGAAAGCATTCAAACTGTCCAAGCCCTCGAAACCTTCAACCTTACACCATAAACCCTAAACCCTAAACCCTAAACCCTAAACCCTAAACCCTAAACCCTAAACCCTAAACCCTAGACCCTAGACCCTAGACCCTAAACCCTGAACCCTACACATCCCTAACCAGTGTGGACACCATGTTTCAAGTGGAGACGGAGGTCGAACGAAGCTCAGCAGATGGGCTTTGAGCTCCCAAAGGAATCGGAAGCTGCCTTTTAGTTGTAAGGTCCTTAACTGGGCTTTGGAGTACTATACTTTAATACTTGTTTTGGTTTTGGGTTCCCATTCTAGCTACTTATACCCAAAAAGTATATACTTTTTTTTCTGGGTCTACTCCAGAGGTAGGTTAAGGGAGGGTTTAGGGTTCAGGGCTTAGGGTTTAGGGCCAAGTTTAGGGTTTAGGGGGTTCATGGGGGATAGGCACCTATGAACCTTTGGGAAGTTTGGGGAGCCATAACGAGTAGTGGGGAGTGAGTATCAGGGAACCTCGGGTTACATACCCCCCCTTGAACCCCCCGTCCCTCAGGAACCCTATAATGTAGAGTGTACGGTTTATGTTTTACTGCATAGGCCTTCTAGGTAGGCAGGGCTTCTGGTTGAGGGCCCGCGTAGGGTTTAGAGTATTTGAGTTTCTTTTTTGGGGGGTTTTTGGGTTCAGGTTTGAGGGTTGAAGGCCTCCCAGTTTAGTAGCCCATGACCTGAGACCCCATTTCCTTACCCCTGAATCATCAAATGTGCGGAATGCCGATGATAGCTCTCGGGGGTAGGCTTTCGTTGAAGATGAGAACCTGAGCTTTGATTGCGTGCGTCTGGCTGCGTCTACGGGAGCGGCATCTGTACGAACCAGAAGTGAGGGAACCCTATATAGCCCTGAGGCCCAAACAGTAGCCCTAACCGCTCCCTTTCTTTACAGGTGCATTCCATGCCAGGCTTATTGAACCAGAAAGGGATCTTTGAAGAAAAGAAGCTTCAATTCTAAGCCAAAGTCCGAATCCAAATCTGAACCCACTTTAGCTCTCAGCCCCATGCCCTCTCCCTACACCCTAAACCCCAAAATCCCTAAACCCTGAAGACCTAAAGTTGTAAACCCTAAAGCCGGAACCCTAAACGCTAAACCCTAAACCCTAAAAACTGAGCCAAACAGGAGCTGCAGCCTGCGATGACAGCACTGAGACAGGAGGAGGCCAGTGCTCAGGTCTTAGGGTTTCGGAGTTTGGGGTTTTTTGGGGGTTGTATTCAGGGTCAAGGGTTAAGGGTTGAGGGGTTAGAGGTTTAGGGGTTTAGGGGTTTTGGGGTTCCGGGGTTTAGGGTTTAGAGGTTTAGGGGGTTCAGGGTTTACAGGCTTTAGGGTGTGGTTTTCGGGGGCAGGGTGGTCGCTTTAAATGGCAGGAGGGTTGTAGGTAGGGTTTAGGGTGACGGGTTTGGGACGCGAGTGAAGCTTATGGGTGGCTGCCACAGCAAGTGTTTGCTGTTTAGAACTTTGTGGAGATGAGTGTGCCTGTTTTGGGTTTAGGGTTTAGGGTTTAGGGTTTAGGGTTTAGGGTTTAGGGTGGGGGGGGGGGGAGGGGGATGGGGAGTCGGGCGGTTGTGGGCATCATAACTGAGCCTCGTAGTAGGGCTTACTGTAGGCTGTCGCCGGCTTGGCCTCCAGGCTTAGGATTCCGATGGCATCCTGGCGAGCCCCAAACGAATAAGCAAAATACTCCCTATATTACCCTTACAAGGGAGAGTATTTTCTATTTTTTGGGGGGGTTCTTAAGCAACTAGTAGTTTAAGGACTGGTTTTACAGTCTATCTGTAACTGGCCCCTCTTCACTGAAGCCCTATAAGCCCGTAAGGTTCCCTGAGACCTTCGCCCTAAAGCCTAAGACCCTGTTGAGGGTTTGAGGGTTTAGGGTTGGGAGATTTCCCCCTTCCTAAACGTCCTTAATAGGGAATATAATTCTCCCTATTACTGGGGACGCTGAGTATAAAAGGGGGAACATCCCAAGCTTAGGGTTTAAAGGGCTTAAAAGGGCTTTGGGTGAGTGGACCCAAATGCATGCCGGCATGGCCCGATCTGCGGACGCTCCGATGTCGCACTGCCGCCATAGGGGCCGCTGCATGGAGCGGAGCCCTCGACTTGCTCCTTGGGCTTTAGGGTTTAGGATCGATGTAGCTATATAGTATATTGTTAGGGTTTAGGGTTTAGGGTTTAGGGTTTAGGGTTTAGGGTTTAAGGTCTTGGGTTTCGGGCTTTTTGGGACTTTCAAGGCCCGAACTCTACAATTTTGATTGGTTTGGTTTAGGGTTAGGGTTTTGTTTTTTAGGGTTCAGGGGTTTAGGGTTTGGGGTTTGGGGTGTTGGGGGGGGGGGCTGCGTAGAACCTAGAATGGCTTGGTAAGGTTTAGAGAGGATCCCCGTTTCACAGGAGGCACCTCGAGTAGTTAGTAGGAGAGACTATGCCCTAAACCCCAAAACCCTACTAAAGGGTCTGCGGCTTGTAATTAGGTTTAGGGCTTACGATGTGGTTTAGGGTTCAGGTTTAGAGCTGGAATAGGGGGCCCGGAACCTGCAGGACCTGAGCATTCAGGGCTGTCGGATGTGAGCTTTATCGGTCCAGTCGAGGGTGTTGATCATTTTGAAGCCTTAGGCCCTACACTTCACAAAGCCCGGCCAGAGAAGAGGGGCCCCCTAGTACAGAAGAGTCAGGGAGCCTTCTAGCCCAACTGAGGGCCCTTAATCCGTTCCCCCTAATATTAATACCCCCCCAATATAAAGAAGCCCCTGGCCCAAAATCCCGATCCCGTGCCTGTCCCTATTAAAATCTCTACAGAGAGAGGGGGGAGTTAGGGGGGGGGAGGGTTGGAAGCCGGAAGCAGAAACATGAACCTTTTCCAAACGTAGCTGTCTAGGCTTAGGCTGGGCTGCTGAGCCAGCGTGCTGCAATAAGGACGGGCTGGTTTTTCGGACAAACGATAAGAACCCCCCCTAACACAAAAAACCCTTTGGGGGTTTTTATACAAGGGAGGGGGGGGGGCCTTTAATATTAGGGGGAACGGATTATACAAGTTGCATACTCAGAACTTGACTGCCCGTCCCGATTTCTTCGCGGCCCAGGCTCGCAGGACTGGAGCTGAGCCATTTGCAGGCCGACGTGTTCGCCTACAACGCAGCCCTGGGCGCATGCACCAAGGGTCGCGCCTGGGCGCAGGCGCTCCTGCTCCTGGCCTCTTGGCTGGCTGAGAGCGACAAGAAACATCTGTTTCCTCCCCCCCCCCCCTTCCCTCAAAGCCCCAAAGACGCGCTTCCGGCATGCCCTTGGGGTCGCTGCCACAAGAAGTAGGGTTTGTCGGTACCCTGAACCCTACTAAAGACCCTAAACCCTAAACCCTAAACCGCCTAAACCCTAAACCCTGAACCCTGAACCCTAAACCCTAAACCCTAAACCCTAAACCCTGAAGCCCAAGCCCCGCTTTCGGCATGGAGAGCACGGCTCAGGATGCCTTGGACGCAAAGCATTTGCTGCCGGACGCCTGGCATGTCAGTGTAAGGTTTAGGGTTTAGGGTTTAGGATTCAGGATTTAGGGTTTAGGGTTTTGGGTTTAGGGTTTATGGGTGTTGTCCCTTTGCCGGTTTTTGGGGTTCCTATACACTAAAGCCCTATAAGCCCGAAGCCTCCTAAGCCCTAGAAACCCTAAAGCCCCCGTGAACCCCAAGCTGAAACTAACCCCCTCGAAACTTTATTACGTTAGTTAGGCACTTGGATTAGTTTGGAAGGCCCTAAAGTTTAAAAAAGGAGCCTCGGCGTTAAACGGCTAAAGTTATTCAACCAGCTAGGACCTGTCAAACTCGCTTTTCAAGTTCAGCAGTAACCTGCAAACCTTCAGTCCCAATTATTTCTTTCAAAGGACCCTAAAGCCTTTGTTAACAATGGCAGCTATAGTCATGCGCCCTTATCATTGGCCCGAGACCCCTAAACCCTAAACCCTCACACCCTAAAACCCTAAATCCTAAAACCCTAAAACCCTAAACCGTAACCCTAAAACCCAAAACCCTAAACCCTAAACGCGAAAACCTCCACCCGCCCACCCGCAGCCCTAGGACATAATCACCTACAACACGCTCCTCAGCGCGTGCGCCGGCGGCTCCCAGTTTCTCGGGAGCTGAATGATATTTCATTCGTTTTTAGGATACAGGGTTCAGGGTTTAGGGTTTCGGTTCAGGGTTTAGGGTTTAGGGTTTAGTGTTTGGGGTTTAGGGCTTAGGGTTAAGGGCAACCCTGACCTCAAGGCTTTGGGCCCCAAGGCCTTATTCTACCAGGTTTTTGGGTTTATTTGAGCCTAAGGGGCAGTTATTTTGTTTTAGGGGTTTTGTGGTCTTGGGAATGTTGGGGTTACGGCTTTTCGGTGTTGGGCCTTGGGGGCTTTAGGGCGTTAAGGGCTGTGGGGTTTTCGAGCGGTTTAAGGTCAATAGGGTTGACGGAATGGATGTTTAGGGCTTTGCACGCTTCAGGGTAATTTAAGGGGATTTTGTCTTTTTCCCCACCCTCGGTGTGGGGTTGTTAGATTTTTAAACTCAACTCTTCTCCTCGCCCGGAACTCTTCTCCTCGCCCGGTCTACTCCTCGCTCATCCTTGGAGTGCCCACGAGTCTCCCTGGAGTGCCCAACCCCAGAGTGTTCCCGGAGTGCCCAGCCCCAGAGTGTCCCTGGAGTGCCCAACCCCAGAGTATCTCTACCAAGAGAGGGTGGGGGATGTTCGAAGTAAAATAGTAAATAATTTTGTTTTAGCCAGGAATGCGGGCTGTTGGTGGGGGGGGGGGGGGGGTTCAGGTTTTGGGGCGTTCTTTAGGGCTTTGCGGGCTTCAGGATCTCAGACTGAGATGAAGCACTGACACAGGTTGATTTCAGGGCCGTTCCAGCCCTAAACCCTAAACCCCTTTTTAAACACCTTTCGTCTCTTTTAAGACGGGCACCCTCAAGCGTTATTTCTTAAGGGTTTAGGGATGTTTAGGGCCTTGGAGCAACTCCGAAGCCCCCAAACAACTCGGGTTTTGGGGTTAAGGTTGAGGGCTTAGGAACCTTCAGCCCTGAACCTTAACACGTAGAACCCTAATACCTAAGACCCTAGTCCATAAACCTGAAACCCTGAACCTCAAAGCTTCATCCCTAAACCCTAAAACCTTCATCCCTAAACTTGAAGCCCCAAACCCGAAACTTCATCCCTAAGCCCCAAACCTGAACCCCTACACCTTAGCCCCTAAACCGGAAAGCTTAATCCCTAAGCCCAAAGCCTTCAACCTTCACCCGTTGAAGCCCTGAACCTTCATCCCTAAACCGCACCCTCAAGTGACCCCCCCCCCCCCCCCCCCCCCCCCCCCCGCCCCCTTCCCCCCCCTCCCCCCCTAGGTGGCTGCTGGCTTTGGCTTTTCTGGAAGACAGCCTCGAGAGAAGCCTCGAGCGCAATGTGACGCTCGGGCTGCTGATTATGTGAAAGCGGTTCAGGGTTTAGGGTTTAGGCGTGGCCTAAACACTAAACCCTAAACCCCATATACTAAACCCTACACCGTCACCCTTAAACCCTAGGCTTTGAGGGTTTCAGGGTTTCAAGGTTCAGGGTTTAGGGTTTAGTAGGGTGAAGTAGATTCAGTGTTTAGGGTTTGGGGTCTCGGGTTGGGCTTACAGTTATAAGTAGAGGGTTTTGTTGGTCTTCTGTGGCTTGGTGTAGAGTCATAGTCATCCGGATCCAAACCCCTCAGCCCTATACCGCAGACAAGAAACCGAACCGACCCCGAATGCAATTTGTGGAGTATACGGGCATTTCTCAAAGAAAGCACCCGGTCTACATCTATGTCCTAAATGTACTAAGAAGCTTTTGAAAAGAGCCCCACAAGACAACAGGTGCCCTGTTTGGAAGCCCCATAGTCCCCTAAGCAGGATCAGCTACAGCTCTGCCATAAGCGCTTTGGAACGATCCAGCGAGTGGACGGCAGCATTGTGGCGGCCTTGACGCAAGGGGTTGAGGTTTAGGGCACCCAAAACCCTAAGCCCTATAGAAAAAACCCTACACCGAAGACTTAGGTACAGCTATATGACATGTTCGTGTTTTTCGTTGCCTGGAGAGAGAAAAAGAGAGAGAGAGAGAGGGGGTGGATGCCAAACACTCTTTCGAATTAGAAATATTCTTTTGGATTATGTGCGGAGCTCTGTTATTCATTTCAGTCATTCTGTTGCCTACTAAGCAAGCAATCTTCCATGAGCTTTATTAGGATCTCTTTGGGTGATTCAGGTGCAGAGGCTCGGGGCGTAGACGGGTTTAGGGCTCAACTTCTCACAACGCCAGCTTGCCTCTTGTGTTGGGTTTTAGGCTTGAGGGTTTAGGGTTTAGGGTCTAGGGGTTTAGAGTTTAGGGCTTAGGGTTTTGGTTTCGGCTGAACTCCCTAAGCATGGGAGCCTACCCCCTGAGCTGAGTTAGGGGCCTTGCCTCAAGCCAAAACCCTGAACTCTAAGAGGATTCGGGTTTATGATTTAGGGCTTAAGGTATAGGTCTACAAGGTTTCCATGTCGATAGGTCGAAAGTCATCCTGATCCCCTTGCCTGCAACCCTCCCCACTCAACCTCCTGCGGCCTCGCAAGCTCCACTGCGCCCCTAGAGCCCGGCACCCAAAACTCTGGAAATCCTGATTAAGGAGATAAGGGGGAACATCCCTAAACCCTAAACCCTAAACCCTGAACCCTGAACCCTAAACCCCATAAGCCCGAAGGCCCTAGACTCCTAGATGTCAAGCCCCGAGCCTAAACCCTGAAACCCTCATGACCCCTAAGCCACGTCGAGTTTGAGCCCAACGTCGCAGCTAGCTCCCTAAACCCCAAACCCTAAACCCTAAACCCCAAACCCTAAACCCTGAACCCTGAACCCTGAACCCTAAACCCTAAACCCCTTCCCGCGAGGTTGCTTGCAGACTGCACCGCCGTGCGACTGAAGGCAGATGTGATCCTGCCCCCTGGCCATATATAGGGTTTAGGGTTTAGGGTTTAGGATTTAGGGTTTAGGGTTTAGGCTTTAATATATGGGTAGTTCTCCAAGTTGGGGTCCCTTTTGGGGGTCTTCTTTTAAGGGTGCCGTGCCAGACCCCAGGTCCTAAGATGCAACCCTACGGGCTCAAGGGTTTAGGGTTCAGAGTGGGTTTGTTTTTTGGGTTTAGGGTTTATCCTTACTTGAGGTTTTAGGTTTAGAGCTCTAACTCCTGAATCCCCCCCCCCCCCCCCCCCCAGACCCCCCACCGAGAAATGAAAGGTGCAGCGCCGCCGCCAGCTCCTGCGCCAAGGGTGGTGCCTGGAAGCAGGCCCAAAAGGGTGGTCTCAAGGCATGGAGTTCACAGGTTGGCCCTAAACCCTAAAACCCCAAACCCTAAACCCTAAACCCTAAAACCCTAAAACCCTAAACCCTAAACCTCAAGCCCTAAACCCTAAACCCTGACAGGGAGGAATGTTCAGGCTTGGGGTGTGAGGTTGCTCTAAGGTGCTTGGGGGGGCCAAACGGGGGGCCCCAAGGGCTCAGAGTTTTAGGGTTTGGGGTTTCAGGTTTGAGGTGGGGGCTTAAGGCATCCTAAAGCAAAATCGCCCAAGTGTTTTCTTAGGAGCCCAATAGGTGAACTTTAAGCTTTTTGGGTATACTAAACCCCTACTAAAAGAAAAGTTTAAACTTTTTTGGGCCAGGGCATTGGGCAACTAAGTTTTTGTCAGGCTTTGAACCTCCTCCGGGCCACCGAAGACCACGACCTGGGCGCCGACGTCGTGCTCTTCAGCGCTTCAGTGGCTCCGTGGGGATTACGACTTGCAGGAATTCCAGGGTCTATGGGGTTTCAGGGTTTAGGGTTTGGGGTTTAGGGTTTAGG